TTTTTTTATGTTTCAACCTAGTTTTATATAATTTATGGTCTATAACAAGCCAATGGTCCTTTTATTTTAAAATGTCACTAATCATACCCTTACTAACTTCATATTCGTTTGCTAGGTCTTTTTGTTTTAATAATAGAAATGAAGTTATTTTTAAACAAATCTCTTTTTTTTGTGTAGCAGTAAGAGACTTTTATTATTTTTTTTTTTAAAGATTCATTACTAGGTTCCTTTAAATTTACTTTTTGCATTCTTATGTTAAAGAAATATGAAAAAAAATTGCAAAACATGTGAAACAAAAAAACATTTATAAAAAAATTGTGAAACATTATACAAATACTTTTATTAACTTTATTAAAGTATAAAAAATTACAAAATTTCATGATCTTTTCTATTAAAATTAATTTTTGTAAATCTTTATTATATTAAAAAAAACTTCGTTATAAATAAATGTATTATATAAAGAGATATTTATATAATACATGTTTATGCACTTAAATTCATTAAATATAATACAAATTTTAGTTTAATAAATTCAGTATAATAAGATTTTTTCTATATTTAAAAATTTGTATAATACTGTAGATTTGTTATATTATGAAATTCGTTATATTAAAATTTACTATAGAAAGAGTTGACTGTAATTATGATCTTGATATTTAAGATATTAATAAAATTAATAGTATTAGTGATGGTAATATTAGAAATAATAATAGTAATTGACATAAATATATTAAAATCAGTTGAAAAGAATCCATAATATTTGATGTTTTATTTGAATACTAAATATATTGTACTAAATAAAATATGATTAAAGATATATTTAAATCTGTATTTATGTTTAATTTTAATAAAAAAAATATATATAATAATTAATAAATAAATCAAATTATAAAAAATAATAATTATAAATACAAACAATTTCTTTAGCTCATAAACTTATTGCAAAATTATTTAAAGGTAAATGATGATCTTTTTAATAAATAATACTTATGATATTTAATATTATTAATATATTTATTATTTAATTTTATTATATAAGATCCAATAAATACTTCAAAGTTTTTTTTTTGGTATATAATTTTTAATTTGTTTTCTTAATTGTTATAATTTTGATTTAGTAATTTTTTTTTAAAAATAAATTTCATTATTTGATTTTTCATTAAATTCTTATTTTGAAATTTTTTCTTATAATATTTAACAATATATTTAACTAAAATTGTATAAAAATAATAACTTTTTTAATAATTATTTTGAACCTAAATATCAGATGTAATTGCTTATTAGATTTTTTTAATTATAATAATAACTATTATTTTTATTTTCTGTTATTTTGTCATACCTCTCATTATGTTTTAATATAATTTTGGCTATTTATTAATAGTTTTTTTGGGGTTTTGTCTCTCATCTTTAATATTTTTAATTATTTTATGATATAATTTTTTTCATTTTAATGTGTATATTTCAGATTTATAATTAGGTTTGAAATATGATATTTTTTCAATTTAATTATTTTTTAATAGTTTTATCATAATATCTTTTTGCTAATATATTAAATTTAAATTATAATTGCTATGTAAAAATATCTATTTAATTATATTTTGGTGAAATTGAAGTAGAAGATATTTTTTTATAAACAAAAATTACATGTGTTTAATTTTTTTTATTTTAAAATTATACTATAATTTAATTGGTCAATATTATTATTACACAAATTTAGAAATTTAAATTTTTTTATAATTGTTATTTATTTTTAGAAATTGTATTATTTTGAAAATTTTGAAAATAGTAATAAACTAAGAACTTATTTTTTTTAGAATATAAATCTTATTTATCATTTGTTATTTATTATAAATGTTATTCTTATCATAGTATGTTATTAGAATTAGATAAAAAAAGATTAGTTTATTTGTTATATGAAATTAGTATTATTATAAGTTAAGATTAGTTTATTAAAATTAGCCAAAACCCAAGTTTTTTTTTTGATGATATAGCTAAGAAAATTAAAGTATTATATAAAAGATTTTTTTTTAAATACTACTAAAATTAGTATAATTTATTTAAAGCTTTAAAATCTTGGATTAGTTTAGATTAGAAACTAATTTGATTTAATCTGAAATTTTTTGTTTAGTTTAGTTTAATTGAATTCAAATTATAAATCTAAAAAAAACAATCTGAATTAAACTGATCTGAAACTTTTAAATAATTTGATATGATCTGAAACTTTTCAGATTAATCTGAAATATCAGATTATTTACTATTAATAAAATTACTCTAATAATTCAGATGTAACTTTTATTAGTATTTTTTCTAATAAATATTATCTTTGACAGGTCAGAAATGATAATAAAAGTTGATTCTGACAGTTCAAATATAGCTTTATTAGAAAAAATCATACCTGAAATTTTAGAGGTTATTTTTATTAAAAAAAAATGATAATAAAGTCATATTTAAACTGTTGAATAACATTTATTATAAAATATAATAATAAAATCACATTTAAACTATCAGATAACTTTTATTAAAAAATATAATAAAAGTTATTAACAATTTAGATGTGACTTTATTATCATTTTTTCTAATAAAAGTTGCTTTTGATACTTTAATTTTTTCTAATAAAGCTATATTGAATTATTAGAAGTGACTTTTATTATTACATCTGAATTTGATTTTAAATATTTTATTATAATTAATTAGTTTATATGACTTATATATACAACTCAAACTATTTTATAAATATTAAAAATTAACTTTACATCTAATTTTATAATTTATGAATCACTAATAAATTTGTAACTGAATGTAATTAAAATATTTTATAATAAAATTACTATAAAAAATTGCGAATGAATATGATTGAAAAACTATTAATAGTCTATGAATTATGAAATTAGCTATAATATATATATATTAAATTACCTAAAAGAAATAAATAAAGTATATAAAAATAGGAAGTTTTAACAAATATCATATTATTATTATTTAAAATATAAATTAAAATTATTAATCAAATACTTTAAATTATAATATTATAATATACTGATCAATCAGTTAGAAAAACTGATTAATCAACCAGTTGGTCAGTCAAGGTCCTCTGACTTATTATTGACTTATCATTAACTAATTATGACTAACCATTATTATCCTTAATATAAATGATCAAAATTAAGGAAAATTTTTTATTACATTACTATGCAATAATTTTTATACTATTAAATATACTCATTATGATAAATATAATAAATAATTTTGATAATGATATACCTTTTATAATGCTATTTTACAATTTGTATTCAAGTGATACAATAATTTGAATAATGCTATAAATATTAATAAAAAAATTTAATTAAAATATATTGAAATTGTTTTTAATAATAAATATAAATTTAATTATAAAATTTTATTTTTACAATAAATTATTTTTTTTTAATATTTATTTTACCTTTTAATTTTATTAATTAATAGTTCTTTTGTACAGTCAAACCTTCATATAGCAAACCTTTGATATAGCGAATTTTTAAATCAAATATATTAAATATATCTTACTATATTAAACCAGCCAATTAAATTCTTTAAATATTTATTATAAACTTATAATGAAGTTGAGATTCAGACCTAGGGTTATTATTATTTAAATTATATATTTTTATAATTTAAAGTTATTATCATCATAAATATATAATTTAATATATGAAAATTTAAAATTAATTATTTAAATAATAATAAAATTTATTATTATTTTTTTTTTTTTAATAAATTATAATAAATATATAAGTTGTAAATAATTATATAAAGTAAAATTATTATATATAAAGATAAAATTAATTATAGGAATATAAATTTTTTTTCATAGTATAAAATAAATATAAAGAAACTTTATATTCAACATGTAATTCTATATTTTTAGATTTGTTTGTGTAACTGTTATACATAACTTATTATTTTATATATATTATTTAATTATTGATTAATAATTATAATATTAAAATAATACACTATGCTATGCGAAATAAAAAGTTTCAAATTCTTAGCCGAATGGGGATGCAACTTTATATTTGGCTAAAACTTATAATTATCTACATTTTGTAACATTAAATAAGTTAAAAACATTTTGTTAAACATTTAAGACTAATAATAAAATATGGAAGTTAATTTCAAATAAAATTCGCGACTCAATCGGCGGCTAAGTCGACTGAAAAGCGTCTAACGACTGACTGAGCCGACTCCATAATTTTCCAAGGCTTGTACACTAGGATCAAACAATTTATATATATAAAAATAAATTTTATTATAATTATTATAATCAATCAATCAATCAAAAAGCTTATGGATGTTAGGACCGTGATATAAACAAATCAGTCTTGATATCATTATCATCACGGCGCGACCGTGATATCTATGGTTCCTGTGAAATAACTATCATTTCATGCCCTATAAAAAAAGTTGATCCGTGTTTTGTTTTCTTAAATCACGGAATTTTCATATCATTATACGCAATCCGTGAAAGGCTCATTTTCACGGAAATTTTACGTAAGCCACCGAGAAATAATGGAAATATTCGGGCGAAAATTTTTATAGGGATGTCATGTAAGAAGTTTTCTATGCAATGCGTTATCAATTAAATGTAATTTTTTGATTAATTAAATCTCAAGTAATGGAATTTCTACAGTTGAAGGTAGTTAAAAATAATTAACCTGCTAAATCTTCCAAAGAATATACAAGAAGATAATTCATAATGAAGAAATAGAATATCATATATAATAAAAAAATATATTTGTGTAACCTATGACCTTGTTTCAACAAAATTTTCCTTTAATAATAAAAAGTGTGTTTGTATCAAAGTCGGATGTAAACTAACCTCAATCTTGTATTAAGAATTGGTAATAAATAATGATTTAACTGAATCTATTTCGCGAACTGAAAAATAAACTAATATAGAGGCCGTTAATTTTTTTAATTAATGTATAATAATGAAAAAAGGTTCGTAAGCTAATTTATGTATACTAACGTGCCTCAAGACTTTTAATATTCATGACTACATTTACAAAACAAGTTAAAGCTAGCAAAAATAATTACTTTGAAAATTTGCTCCCTTTTGTATGAAATTTTGAAATTGTGAAAGTCGACTGTTATTTCTATATTTCTATATGAAATTTTTCTAACGTGAACTTTATGTGTGTAAATGAATTACCTTAATTTTTAATAAAATTAAATTAAAACAAAGAATTTTTCTTGATATGAAATTTGCCAGTTATAGATCTTAAATTAAATTTTTCAGATATTGAACTGCAGGCTTCATCATTTGATGTTTGACTTATCTGATTAGTCTCAGAAATTGAGCGCATATTGGATATAGGCTTAGTTGTAACTGTAAACACTTCATAATCATCCACATAAAAACTTGAAGGTAGGTCAATTTTAGGATAGCAATGATGATTTTCATAATTCCAAATCTTGGTATCTTGACAACGCAAATCATAAAAATTTGGTCCAGTTTGTGGATCGCAACCTAAAGAATATTTATTATTCTTACAATATCCAACATTTGATGTTTGTAAGTTCCTTCGATTTTTCATAGAGAATATAAAACTTTCAAATGTATGTTTCCAAAGTTTATTTGAACTCCATCCAAGTGGGTTATATCCACCCGCCAATTGTTCCGAACCTTTGATTTTAGCAACAACCATGGTAGCCCCTTCATTATTACATTTCTCATGAAATGCTGCAACCGTATTACCATCCCTGCTTGCCCTATAAATGAGATCGAATTTATAAGGAATCGATTTAACATACTTTGCATCTCCTTCCATTCGATCAATCCAGTTTGCAAATTGTACGGTATGCTTTAGATTAATTATAGTCGAATCAATTTTATTCCTGGATGAAAAGATGATATGCTTTGGTATATAATCAGGTATCATGTAAAATTTTAACAAATCGTCCTTCAATTCTTTAGGTAAAATTTCTTCATATGGTTTAACCTTGTTGATGTAATCTACAGAAGTTATTTCACTAAATCTAATCAAGGGAATAAATTTATTAAGTATTACAGCAAAGGAACAAATATTTTCTTGATTCCATTCAGAGAGATCTTTATCGAGTGAATTATCTTGTGCTAATCCCCATCTAATTACAAGCTCCCAAATTTCAATCTCAATCGAGTTAAAATCGTCACGCTTTAAGATAATTTCCAATAAATGAGCCGGTAATTTAATAAAATCATCAGAGTTGTATAAAATTTCAGGTTGATGACAGATGATTTCTAAACAAAATTCTCGTAAATTATTAAAAGATTGATGTTCATATACAATTTTGAGAATTCCGACCGGTTCTTTTCGCAAGAATTGTTGATGATTGTCAATGATATATTTTTCAACAAGTTCAGTTAATTGACTCATGTTGAATTCATCAGAAGCAATCATAATGTTTAAAAGCTCCATTTCAACATTATTTTTGAAATCGAAATGTCCAGTATAAAGATACCTTAATATAATCAAAACGTGTAAAGAACTAATCATAAATATTATATAAACAAGACAATTCAATTACTTACTTGAGAATGACGTCAAAAGCTTGAGGAGTAAGATTTGGTTTCTTAATTATATACTTTCCATCTTCTCTCTCGATATCTTCAGTAGAAAGCAATTCATTAAAGTATTCGGATCTACAATATAGCACGTTGGAATGCGCATGAACTTCCTTAAAATTTGGTTCATTTCCAACATAAATGATAACATTGTAATCTTTTTCTGTTTGAAGTAGCTTTTCAAATGCTGTAGATAATTCCGATTCAAAGTTATATGACATTTTTATTTTAAAAAATGAACGCGAGATGAAAAAGAAAAGGCGTGATCAACCTCAAAATTTCTTTTTTTTTTTCCAAAATCAAACTCCCTTCCCTTTTATCTTCAAGGATTTTGAGCCAATATTTTTCGGAAAGGTTTTTTTTCATTGCAATTAATTTCGGATAGTTGTTAAATATGGAATAATATTTGTCGATCAAATTACTTCTTTTTTAGGTTGATTTTAATTAAATTATCGTGTGAAAATTTTTGATGGGCTGTTCAACAACTATCAAAAGTTTTTTCTTTTTAATTAGTATGATATAACGCGTATTATAGAACTGCAATTTTGGAAATTATTCATCAGATAATTAATGTCATGTCATTTCTAATCACAAAAACCTTAATTCTGGCCGAAATTAAATTTCGTTCGGAGTTAATAACTAATTTATCCGATTAAAGAAAATCTTTAACCGGTTAACAATTTAACCGTTTAACCGCGGCATCTTCTAGTATCGATAATTTTTTAGTTGATTAATTGATTTTGTCAAATTTGTCAAATTTGTATAAATATTTGAAATTTAGGAATTGCAAATTTGACCCCAATAAATTCGGCCGGAATTAAGATTAAGTCACCCTTTTAAAATTGGTCATTTTGAATTAAATGATTTTGATCAATTTTTCAAAAAGTGATTTAAACATTCGATAATAAAGTATATATTCGAAAGAATCATCTCCACTTGATATTCAATCCCTCGATAATTGAATAAAATTTATTTATAAAAACTTTACTGTCGATTATATTTAGCATGTCATACTGTACAGTACATGTGTGATTTTTGATGCACAATTTTGAAATTTTAAAAGCATTTTGTTATTTTCGAATAAAAAAAAAAAATCCTCATATTAAAAACGGATATTCGAATATACCATTTACGAACGTAATCTCTATGGTACTATTGTTCAATGTCAAAGAATTAAAAGGTTTATAGTTATTGCGCGATTCGAAAGTTTTTATCATAAGCGTTCTTATTTAACATATACAGAAAATCCTTTCGCTCTTCTTTTAATTTATAATGTCGTACTGTTTTTTTAATCATCAACAGTGGTAACATCGTATTGTAAATCTGTAATTGAACGAAAAATTTGAAATAACAAAATGATGATAAAATTCAACTTATTATACAATATTGGAACAGTACCCTGATGGGTTATTGATGCTTACTTTCATTACATCATTGAAGTTTGATCCTACAAATGAATTTGCTATATCTATTCTGTTTACGTAATTACAATTGAATACGAGTTTTATTTAATAAATTATCTCTCAGAATATAGATTCGATTAATATTCAACGAGAATTCTATAAATAATTCCGTTCTCAGTAATAAATTTATTTCATAGCACAAGAGTAGTCATTAATTGCGTGTCATACGAAATATAGATTACAGTATATATCGATGAAGGTAAATATTTTTTTTGCAATCCAATAAACCCAATATTAAAATCTCTTTTAAGATTCTTGCAGAAAATATTTTTAATTATCTTTATTTCGAATAAATTTTTAAGAAACGATGCTAATTGGTGACCTTAAATTCTTGTACATTCGGTTGTAAATTATTTCTGTCCCCGTGGTTAAACAAAGTTTTAAAATGAATTGGTGAAACCGCAAAAATCCAAAAGCATTTCTGTTGTGACTACACGCATCTTCATGTGACGAACCAAAGTTTTTAAACTTGATTGCTAGAAAATAATATTTATAGTTTTTGTCATAAATAAAAAAATAAAGTAAAAAAAAAAAGTTCGTATGAACGTAAAGATAAAAAAAAAAAAAAAAAAAAGGAAAAAAAAGAATGAAAGAAAAAACAATTCGTTTTGTACCCCGCACATTTTTTCTATTATCTTTTTTTTTTTTTTATCTCAAAGTTTTATGTTGGGCGCATTTATAATTTAATAACTTTGAAACACTTTTAGCATGTCGATTGAACTTAAACTCAACAGATTCAACAGATGGTAGTACATTGATCATTATTCGTATAACCCATTCACAATTTAAGGAATTTATTTTTGATAAATGGAAAGGTAAAAACCTATCTTTGAATTACATGAAACTCATGACCCAACCCTGGTAATTGAATGAGTTGCTGCTCTTTCCTTCCCTACTCGTAAATTGAAACCAAAAAAAAATACATCTTGATTTTATATCATCTTGTAAATATTTATAAATTATCAATTAAAAAAATCAAAATCAAAAAATTTAATCATCTCATTGGTAATTGAATCAACTGCATGTTTGAAACAATCTAAATCTTTTCAAGAACCATATAACTATATTCAACAAATGTTTCAGAACGAATTTTCCTATTATTCAACCAATTCACGAAACGAGTATACATATTCGTTGGGTTGCACACCCTCAGAGGGTGATGACCTTGCACATGCATGATATAGCCCAGTCTTTAAATTAATAAATTACAGATTTGGTACATAATACAAAATTTTATTAGTTCAAAAGTACAAACGATATTTTTCAACCCTGCATATGAACATTGAGTTCATATGGAAAGGAACATTCCTTTCCCATCTGGAATTTCGAGTGCGTGTTCTATAACTCTTTAAAGAATGAATTCGTTGATCGTTGATAAATAGTTTTATAATTCTCAAACTTACCATTTATATATTCAGAATGCGCCAAGAGAATTAGAGACTGCTACTATTGTAGATTCGGTTAAATATTATAATCGGCTTCCCGTTTTTACATACAAATATTAGAACCCTTTGACAATTTTACAGTATATGCGAGATAATGCCCCCCAAAAAAAGGAAAAGGAAAAAAAAAGAAAATGCAACAAGTAATTTTTTATTTTATTGTTTATGATAAATGTTGTGAATTTATTATGTATGTATGTCAACATGTGACGAATATGTCGTGATTTATAAAGTTAAATTTTTTGTCAAAATAATAGTTAAAAAATGATAAGCATGACAAATCTCCAAACAGAATTAATGTCGCACAGCAACAATGAAAATCATGAACGAACCCTTTTTAGAAATTAAAATATGTACAAAGTAAATTATAAACTAAGATTCAATAATTTATAGTTTTGGTAACTTGAAACACTTCATAATCATCCACAATAAACCGTTCAGGCATATCTATTGCAGGATAATCATCTCTTGAATCGCACGTCCAAGAACCGTAATTATTGAAAATCAAATTACCGAACGTGGGACCAACCGATGGAAAGCATCCTATCGAACATTGATCATTATTACTATAACCAACTTTTGCGGTTTGAAAGTCTTTTCTACTCGTGAAGGAATATATAAAACTTTCTTTGGTCGATTTCCATTGATTACTTGAATCCCATTGAAGCGGATTATACCCTCCTATCAAATGGTTCGAATTTAAAACCGTTGATACCAATATGGTGGCGCCTTTATTATCACATTTCGAATGAAATGCTGCAGACGTCCTTCCGTCCCTACTTGCACGATAAAGTAATTTGAAATTATATGATACATCATTATTTGCATTCCCATCAATCCACTTTGCGAATAATCTAAAATGATACTTGTTGATGAGTCGACTCGAATCAAACTTTGGCCATTTGGATGGTAATAAATTCTTTATTTTTGTCACGTTTGGAACCAAATAAAATTGCATGATTTCATCATTAAAACTTTCCGGTAATAATTTTTCATATGGAAAAATTCTTTCATAATAATTATTTGAAGAGACGTCTTGAAACCGTATCAACGGAATAAACCCGTGGATGGTTTGCTTCATCATTGTAACATTCTCCTTGGTCCATCTCGAAGGATTATGATTAACGTTGGGATTTTGAGCCTGAGTCCAATGTATCAAAAGGTTCCATATATCGATCTCATCTAAGATGAAATCATCTTGTTTTAGGATGATTTCAAGAGCCAGTGACGATAACGTTAAGTAGGAATCCTTTTTAAATAAAAGGGATGGGACGTGACATATTATTTTTAGACAAAAGTTTTGCAAGGGTTTAAGGCATTCGTGTTTAGTTGTAAGTTCAAGAACTTCAAATATATAATTTTTAATGAATTTCTTTTGATGGATGATTAATAATTCTTGGACGTATTCTACCAGCGAATCAAGATTAAATTCACTCGCTATTATTAATAAGTTAAAAAGGTTTAATCCGAGTTCGGCTTTTAACTCGATCTTCCCGCAATACAAGTATCTAAAAAAAGTTTGAATTTTTTCAATGATCAAGTTCACGCAAAGTTTTTTTGAGCCTGCTTGATTCCTTTGAAATCAAAAAGAAAATAGTTACCTTATTATCTTGTTTAATATTTGGAATGGTACATCAGGTTTGTTGATAATGTATATTCCATCCCTAATTTCAAATGAATCGTTTAAGAATGCGTCATGAAAGTAAGTTGATTGGCAGCAGAGAATAATGGAGTGAGCATAGATTTCCTGAACGTTCTGCTCCTCTCCCGCGTAGATGATGGTATCATAATTTCTCTTTGTGTCGAATAAACTTTCAAAGTTTTTCACAAGTTCGGGGAAAAATTTTATTTGCATGTTTTAAAAAAATTTTTTGCTCTTTTTTTGGATTTTTAAAAAATTTTTTTTTTTATGTTGAAAAAAAAAGCAAATTAACGATTTCTTATATTATGGAGACAAAAAATTTTGAAATTGGAAATCTCGGGTTCTTTTCTCCTTCTGAAACGGAAAGTTTTCCGAAGACGTATTATTTTTAGAACAAAGAAATCGATAAATCCCTTTTATAGACATCTTTTTTTTTCGTTCTATTCTTGGTTAAAATAAGTAAACATTAAACCCCAGTATGAATTAATGAACTTTCCAGGTTTAGTAAAGAGGAACCTTATTTGGTCATGCCTATAAATTAAATATTTTTTACCTTTTTTATGCAACTTAGATGGATCCGAATATCATTCTATAATCAACCTCATTTTAATTAATTTTTTTTTTTTTTTTTTTTGTATTCTCATAAACAAATCCATTATACAATTAAAAAAAAA